GAATTGTATTTTATTGTGGCACCAGAGCGCTCTGACAGAGAAGGCTCAGTGTTTCAGGGGGAAAAACAATTCCCATGACTCCCTAGCACTAATCCCAACCCTTAAAGTGGACTCAATTTGCACTATTTCTGGCAGTCTGCAAAGGCCCATAGTTCACTTCATCAGATTCATGAAATGTGTCCTCAGGTTGGTAGATGTATATGCATGCACATGCTGGTGTGGTTAAGTGGAGATTGTGAATGGTGTGGATTGAAACACAAATAATGCAGGCAATGATAATATCTTAACAGTGCCAGTCATTTGTGTATGATAATAGAAGATTGTTCCTTATGCCATAATACCACTGTAAGAAAAAAATTTAAAACTGCACATCACAATGCATTGTGAAAGACTAGATGTTTTGTAATTTTGAAAATCTTGTAATGATGCTGACAGAAATTTGGTGAATTCTTATAATATGGTAAGAGGGATATTCAGGATTATCCACGACTTTTCTTCTAAAAACAGTTCTCTCCAGCCTTTTTGTTTCTTAGCAAGGGCTACTTGCAGACTTGGACCTGCACAGTAGAAAAATGACTGAAGAAAAGTTACTTCAGGGAGTGATGTGGGTGAGCAAGACAAAAGTTCAGTGTCCCTACCCTTCCTTTCATGCTGAACTTGGGATTCTTTGAAATTCAGCTCAGTTTTGTAGATATTGTACAACCTGATTCTGATACATGGTTCATTGTTTAGGATTATGTTTATATCTTTCTATACATGATACTTTGGTTGCAAAGAAATAATGATTTTTTCCCTCTTTTGCCAGTACTGCTGTTCATTTCTTTTTAGCCTTAAAAACCACAAAGGAAGTAAGACACTGCAAGGCTTTCATATATAAACATTGCATGTCCTGCCTTAGATGTGGCAGTGTTGAAAATGTGAGCAGGAAGTGCACACTCAACTAAGGGAAAAAACTGATGTTAAACATGACAAAGTGAAGAAATCAGTCTGTAAGTTAACTTTCCTCTGCTGGCTTTGCTGTGAGTTTAATTTGTTAATTTAACTCGTAGACAAAGGTATGTTGCGATCATAGCTTTCCATATTTTTTTTAAATCTTCATTTATTTGGGTACTGGAATATTTAGTGTTAGCATAGGTCTGAAAAATTTAAAAAAATATGAAAAATATGCACACCATTTATTTTGAGGCACTAATTGACCCTCATGTAATGCCGAGGATGATCATATTGGCTGCTGTTGTCACCTCAGAGTATGAAATCTATATTTAAATGCTTTATTAATTGTCTACTAAATTAATGCAAAAGACAGTATCGGAAAGAAGTTTGCACAAGTTTTTTAATAGCATGTTTAGGCATGGCTGTAAAGACCACCTTATTCACAATGATTTTGTTACATGGCAGTTAACATTGCTTCAAGAAAAATATTCCATCCCTTTCCATGTTGTGTAAAAGTAGTACAGTGCATTCCTGACTTGTGAACGCATGGCTAAAAACCACCTCTTCCATGTTTCAAAACCTTTTTAAAGAGAGGGGTGATATTCCATATGGTTTGCTTCATAGATGATAACATCCATAAAAAGAAATTCTGCCATAAGCTTTGATTATTAGGATTTCCCTATGGGATGTGTACGTGCCAAACAGAATAATAGAATCATAGAGTTGGAAGAGCCCCAAGGGTCATCCAATCCAACCCCACTGTAGCTGATTTCAGAAGCCAGGAAGGGCAAGGATCCAGTATACACGCAGTGGCCCTCACTTCTCCAAGGATCCTATCCACATCCTCAGGCTGCACAAACTGAAACTTATCCAATAATATGGGACAGGCAGAGGCTAAGATTACATCCACTGGACCTGTCTCAACTACAGCATCCAAGTCAGAGTGAATCAGAGCGATATTGTCCGCAAAATGTCTTGCAAATTCCTCACAGCGAGCTGTTGAGTGGTCTTTGTTTCCTTCTTAGGGGCTAGAATGTAAAAGGCCCCAGACCACTTTAAACAGCTCAGCTGGATGAAACTGTGCAGACGCAATGGTGGCAGAGAAGTATAGTTTCTTTGCTGCCACCACTGCCATGGCATAGGCTTTCCAATGAGCTCTAGCCATGTTCGGTTGGATTCACTCTTGAGTTTTTCACCATCGTTGTTCTAGTCTCTGTCTCACTCGTTTCATCACCATCAGTTTTCTGGTAAATCGGGGCACATCTGGCTCCACTTTGTGGGAGGGGACACTTAGGGGCAAACAATCATGAATGCATATACTATATATGTAGTTGTTGTATGCCTTCAAGTCGATTCTGACTTATGGCAACACTATCATTTGGTTTTCTTGGCACATTTCTTCAGGGAGGTTGCCATTGCTGTCCATTGCCACCTGAGGCTGAGAGAGAGTGACTTGCCCAAGGTCACCCAGTGGGTTTACATGGCCGAGCTGGTATTTGAACCCTGGTCTCCAAAATAATAGTCCAGCACTCAAACCACTACACCACAGTGGCTCACCATAAATTGATGTCATGTATAAGTTGAGGTCATGTATAAGTTGGACCAAACTTATGGATTTTGATATGACCTATGGATAAGTCAATGGTAAAACTTAGGGGAGGGAAGTCTCAGCATGGGGCTCCGCAGATCCATTTCATGGAGAGGTAAAAATGTAAACCGCTTAGGGCGCTGATAGGCGGTATAGAAATGTACTTGCTACTTGTTATTGGTATCATTTTTCAGTGCTCTCCATGGAGCCTGTGCTGCTGGGGCTTGTTGATGGAGCAGATCATCAAAAAAGCAACCCAGCAAGCACCTTCCGGCTTGAGGCATTCAAAGGGCCTTTTCTCCAGTTTTGGCTTCCTCCTTCCTTCTCACCTGAGCTTGGTGGACTGGCTTTGACTCCTGTTCCAGCATGGATAAATCGACGCAGGTTTTTAAGGTTACTTTTTAGATTTAAATTTCTAAACTTATAGCAATAGCAATAGCGTGTACATTTCTATACCACTTATCACTGAACTCAGCACTCTCAAAGTAGTTTACAGTCTGTAAGTCAATTGTCCCCAGCAAGCTGGGTACTCATTTTACCGACCTACAGAAGGATGGAAGGCTGAGTGAACCTTGGAGCCCCTGGGATCAAACACAACTTTGCAGCTGCAGTACTTCACCAGGGCTCCCTGAACTTATAGTCAAGTATATATATTAATAGCATGCTGAAAAGTCCATTTTTATATTTTTGGTTTTATACCTGGAATCCAAGCCCCAATTAATATGAGTGTGGTTGTGTTTATATGAAAGGCAGACGTGGGCAGACATGCATTAAATAAAAAGTCTTAATTTAAAAAGAATTCTTGTGTTGAGCAGTTCATGAACTTCTGTTCATGCTGCCACCACCAGACAAGGAAGGGTATGGGATCTTGTAGTGGCATGTCACTGCACACAAAGAACTTGAATTGAGGAGCAGCTGCCATATGGTCACATTTCAGTTGGCCACAATGCAGCTGTTTCTGTGAATGTGTGCCAATTCAGTGTTTAAGAAAATACAGTCTTTGTCCAGAATAAGGTGACTGACCGATACTCTGAAGAAAAGGGTTCAGTACTACATGAAAACTAAATGACGATAAAGCACACAAATTTATGCAAGCCTTTGATTTCCTTAAAAGCAAAACAAAGAAAAACTGTATTAATTGCAGTGGCCTGCTTGTTGACATGCTGCAGCACCAGCTGTCTACTAGCATTGCTTATCCATAAGTTACTGGCAACCAACCTCATTACAGCTGCAAATGGTATTTACAAATATAGTTAAAAATAGTATAAGAGAAATTGGGAAGTCTTTTGAACACTTTTTTCTCTTTTACACTCTTAACATTCCAGACGTCCATATAATAGGAATAAAATCTTGCTTTGAAGGTGCTTCCTCTCCATGGGATCTGATTTTCCTTAGCTAATCCTTTATGCTTGTGTTAGATTCAAGAATTAAAACATTACAAATTATGTTTTACTCTGTGCTTTGGACAATCCAAAGAATGTGAAACGGGGGTGACTGATCCTCATGGTATGTTTGCTAATGAAACACTTTTTGATTAAGTGCTGCATACATATTTCTTTTTGTGACTGTCCTGATGCTACTCTTAAATTCTGAGAAGAATATTGTGGAAACTTAACTCTAGTTATAAATAATCTTTTTTTCCCCCTTCATCTTGTTTCCAGTACATTTATTCAAATAGTTGTTGGAGTCTCTAAACAGCAAATGCCTTGTTTTTCTTCCATTGTGTTAATAAAAGGTAAAAGGTAAAAGTATTTCCCATTGACAAGGTTGTCAAGTCGTGTCCGACCATAGGGAGCGGTGCTCTTCTCTGTTACTAAGCCAAAAAGCCAGTGTTGTCAGAGACTACTCTGTGATCATGTGGCCAGCATGATTGCACAGAACGCTATTTACCTTCCCACCGAAGCGGTACCTATTTATCTACTTGCATTTCCATGCTTTTGAACTGCTAGGTTGGCAGAAGCTGGGACTATTGACAGGAGCTCACCCCATCATGCAGCATCTGGGCCTCAAATTGCCAACCTGCCTATCTTGCTATCAACAGAGTCAGCTTCTTAAGCACTTGAGCCACTGTGTCCCGTGTCACTCTAAACCACTGTGTTTATAGTGTGGTTATTTAAAAAGATTTAGATACAAATTAAAGAGGAGTTAAGAAATGTGTCTAAAATTTGGGCCTAGCTGTGTGTTACACTGAATGAATAGCATGCAATGATATACTTGGCTTTTCTTTAATTATTAAGGGAAGGAAAACCACAGTGATTAATGACGAGAGGTTATTGCTTTTCTTACAGTAGTGGTTGAAATGAAAATCTCTCCATGGGAAATTTTCCCCCTATGTTCCAATAGGTTCCCCTCCCCCAAGTCTCCAAAGGAAGGCTTCTCCAAGGGAAGAAAATAGGAAAGAGCACAAATTTTTGAGGAAAGCAAATAGGCAGTAATAAGATAATTGATTCAAAATCAGAATTTGAAAAGAATATCTGAAGAAGTACAAAATAAGTATTTCCAGAAGCATTATCAGCCCAGAGAGGTAGTAGGTTTATAACTGTTAAGTGGCAACATGTCAAAATTATGCTGAAGAGAAGCTAAATGATTTTTTCACATCATTCATCATCATCAAAAATCTTGGAAAGAATCCTGTGCCTGAGCCATTCTACTTTGATTAGTGCATCTGAAGAACTACATCAAGTTGAGGTAGTGTTCCTCAGAATGGTCCCAGAGAATTCAAGCAAAAAACTATTGACCCAGAAAACTTTTAATTGAGTAACAAACTGAATTCTAAAGAGGTTGGGTACTTTTGCTTAGAAGAAAAAAGCAGTTGAGACATACTATTAGGGTGAATCATAGGGAAAACACAAATATTTGGAAAGATTTACACTTTCATAATAACAAAATGTATGTTCACCTGATGAATTTGAATTTTAGTGGGTTCTGGGCATACCTCACTGAATTAATAAGTAATTTATACAAAGTAGGGTCATGTTACATGCTGATTGTGTGTGTGTGTGTGTATATGTGAATATGCCTTCAAGTTTCTTGTTGATTTATCAGCTAGTATATGGTTCTTATCCATTCTCCTTTTATTTTAGGAGTGCGTGTGTTTGTTGTTGTCGTTGTTGTTGTGTACCTTCTAGTCATTTCTCACTTATTGCCTAAGGCAAACCTATCATATTTTTTTTTTGGCATGTTTCTTCAGAGGGGGTTGCTATTCCCTTCCTCGGAGGCTGGGAGAGTGTGACTTGCCCATGGTCACCCAGTAGGGTTTTCATGGCCAAGCCGGGATTCGAACCCTGGTCTACCATATCTGCAGTCCAAAAGCAAAAGCAAAAGCAGCTTCATTTATATACTGCTTCATACTGCACTATAGGGTGTCTAAGCGGTTTACAACTGTAAACTCATTGCCCCCCAACAGTTGGGTACTCATTTTAGCAACCTCGGAAGGATGCAGGCCTGAGTCTAGCCTGAGCCATGGTTAGTATTGAACTCGCAACCTTGTGGTTTATGAGTGAGTGGCAGCAGTACAGGCATTTAACCACTGCCCCACCAGGGCTCCTCAAACCATTGCTATAAGAGAGGAAGTAAAAATGCATACACACGCTTGCATGCACACATTCAGGTCTGTCACTGAAGATATAAATCACTTGTGCTACAGGGTTTGAGTATGATGTATCCAAGATAATTGTGAAGCAAATTATATGCATTTGATTTTTTAAAAATTAAAAACCTATAAGCACCTTTTAACTCGGAGAGACAAATAAGAAGGAAAGGACATAAAATATTACTAGCCCTACTGATGCCAACCAGCCATTTTGATCTGATAAGTTGTGAGTCATGATGGCAAGCTATGAATTAAGGACAGTTCATGCACCATGAAAGAACAGCTATGCCATAAGGACACCTGTGTTGTAAATGCATGTATATGTATCTTCAAGTCCCCTGTGGACTTATGAATTTCATCGGGTTTTCTTATGCAAGGGAATACTCAGAGGTGGTTTTTCCAATTCTTTACTTTGAAATATAACCTACAGCACCTGGTTTTCATTGGCAGTCTCCTATCCAAGTACTAACCAGGGCTGACCCTGTTTAGTTTCCAAGTTCAGACAGGATCTGGTGCCTTTAGGATATTTAAGCAGTAATTTATTACTCAGTTAAATGGTTTTAAATTGATTACTTCTTTATAGCGTCTTAATTTCATGAAGGATAAGATGCTAGTCAAGATGACTATCCTGTCTCATAGTATGCCTCTCAATACCAGTTGTTAGGAGCAGGAATGGGAGGATACTCTTGTGCCCAGCAAATGGGCTTTTTGGATGCAACTGGTCTGTCACTGTGGCACAAAAATGCTGGACTAGATATACCTTTTGTCTGATCTAGCAAGACTTGTCTTTTGTTCCTGGATTCTTAGCAACTGTTAACCATTATGAGGAGTGGAATTTCAGTGTTTGGAGGGCGTACATTGTTAGGCACTGAGCAATGGGATAAATAGTGATATAAATCCATCCAGTCTGTCATTGACTTTCCCATTGTGGCTAAGCAGGTGCATTTAGGAAGCACAGCTTAGCAGGTCATGAAGGCTACAGGGTTCTTCTGCTTTCCCTAGCACCTTGTATTCGGAGGCACTCTGTATCTGAATTTAATGCAAGTCAAACTGGAATTACTGCCTGTTAGATCTGTAGTTTTCATTTGGCCCCACATCCCTAAAATCATTTGATTTCCTGATATTCTGAGCCTCTGGAGAGCATAAATATTAATATTTAGAAATATTGCTCTATGCCATTCTAGTCCATAATGCAGCAAGTTAAAATTTTCTAATTTTTTATTCATTACTCTGAACACTTTTGAAATGTCTAGTGCAATTTAGTTTTTATTATTCCGGTAACTAATAAATGATAAACACTGTCCTAGAATATAGTGCTCACTCATCCAGACATAACTGAGTTTTTAAAAATGCTACATTTAGAGCTACTTTTG